CAGTTTGTGATTTAGCAAGTTAAATCAAAACTTCAATTGATCCATTTTGTATTTTCTTTCTCTTTACTTTCCAACAATTTAGGCCAATATTTTAATTAAATACAAAGGTCTCTCCTCATTGCAGGAAATTAATCACTTTGGGCATTTATTAGTTATTCATTTTTGTTTAAAACACATTTGATAATTCATTAAAGTACCTCAAAAATTAAATTCTTAACAGCCCCAGGTCCAAAATATATTTAAGAAAGAAAATGAAGCACAGTAATAAACAGTGAAGAGTTCTGAAATATGCATTTGGCCTGTAGCATCGCAAATGTTTATTTGCAAGAATTAATTTGAAACCAAGTTTGCACTGCCTTTGTCAGGAGCTGGCTGGGAACTTTCAGTTGTGTTACCCATCTCCAGGAGCTTGCCCTTCCGCTGGCATATTCCATCACTGACAACCATGCATTTACATTCATTCTTTCAGCTGTTTTTGAGTTTGATCGTTTTCCAGGAGGCACAGAAAATTAGGCACACTGCTAAAGGATATGTTACCCCTAAAGGATATGTTCCCACTTGGCATGGGAGAGGATACAAACAAGTATTAATGAAGGTACAAGAAATCCCATACACCAAAGAGAAGTCCCAGCCAGTGAGTTATGGCAGTTCCCCCTTGCACATGGCAGCCCTCATGGGACATGGTGACACAGGGCAGTGGCTCTCTTCATCACCCTTCAGCAAACCACATAATGCGCTTTTCTAACTCGGGGAGGCAAGCTCTTAAATGATTTTTAATCCTAAATTGCTGTCTAATTAGCAGGATTTAATGAGAGCTTTTCTATTGTGGAATTTACTCCAGATGCTGAACCCTGGAGTACCATAGCACATTAAACTGCAATAGATGCTGTAACCAAGATAGTAATGACGTGTAAAGTTGTATTTGTAAGTATACAGGTGTCCAAGTTAAGTTTGCTGAAGTAGCATTCAATAGCTTTGAAAAAGTCACTAAAAATATACACCTGATCTCTGCTTTGATCTCAAAATTCTTCTATTTAAAAAAAAAAAAAAAAAAAAAAAAATCAATATTTTGTGGATTTTTAGGTTTTTGCTCTAGTTCAGAAGTTTTTAAATTTGCCTCTTGCCTGTTCCCATATCTGCAGCTTTTCTATTTAGCTGCACCAAGTTTGCCTACTAAGGAAGAGCAAGTGAAGTGCCATAGGAGGCCAGTCCCACATCCTGGTATCACCAAACATTCTACATGAGGTGTCCCTGCAGGTCCCGTACCACAGCCCACCCTGCTCTCCTCGCTGCATCACCTTCACCTTTCCCAACACTGATAACCCTGGGAAAAACTTGCCAGGGGTGCATGGACTCTGTGTTCCAAGGGCTGCCCCACAGGCTCCCTGCAGAGCCCTCCACTGCAGGCAGCTGCCTGCGCCTGCCTGTCCCTTCCTCAGTCAAGAGGAGCAGGGGGGTATTGGGCAGCAGGGGTGAAGGCATTTCAATGCATGTCTCATAGAATCATTATGGAATCACAGCCTGGTTTGAACTGGAAAGAACCTTAAAGCTCATCCAGCTCCAACCCCTGCCACGGGCAGGGACACCTTCCACTAGAGCAGCTTGCTCCAAGCCCCTGTGTCCAACCTGGCCTTGAACACTGCCAGGGATGGGGCAGCCACAGCTTCTCTGGGCACCCTGTGCCAGCGCCTCAGCACCCTCACATGGAAGAGCTTCTGCCTAGGAGGTCATCTCAACCTCCCCGCTGGCAGGTTAAAGCCATTCTCCCCCATCCTGTCCCTACAGGCTCTTGCCAAAACCTCTCCAGCTTTCTTGTTGGCCCCTTTAGGCACCAGAAGCGGCTCTAAGGTCTCACTGGGGAACGCTCTGCTGTTTTTGGGGTATGAACACCGAAGCTACCCCACAGCCAGGAGAACAGCAAGTTGTATTCAACAGCGCAGCCGCAGGAAAAAAAAACACAATAAAGATAACGACGATAACAACAATAACAATGTAAATGCAATCGGATTCCAACGGCACCGTCCTCGCTCTGTGTCCTCCAGCCGTAAGCGGCCTCGGAACATCCTCACTCACACCGGGGGCAGCACTGCGGGAGCGGCCGGAGCGGGCTCGGTCGCGGAGCGCTGCCTCCCTCTCCCGGAGGCACCGGGGAGCGCAGGCTGGGAGCGGGCGGCGCAGGAGCCGGCGGGGCGGTGGGACCGCAACCGGGGGCAGCCGCGAAGGTGCCCCTTGAGCTCCATCGGGCCAAGCACCGCCGAGACCCCGCACCGGCACCGCGGAAGGCGGCAGTGCCACCGGTACTGAGCGCGGGTGTGGGGTGCTGTGTCTCTGTACCTTACCGGTACCCATTTCTCCAGAGCAGTGAAGAACCGCATCCTTTCGGTGCATCAGCCCCCATGCTACGCCTCAGCCCTCCTCCTGTAGCTGCTCGCTCACCTGTAAAACCATCAAATTCAGCCCAAAAGAAGGAGAAGACAACACAGTACCTGCTGCTAACACCTTGCTACATGATCAGCATCCTAAGTTAAAAACCTCCAAACAACCCTAAAGGCTCTCAGTGCACCTAGCTGCCAGATGAGCAACGCACAGTGCCGAGCCAGTGCTCCACAAACAGTTTTAATTCCCCTCAAAACTTGTAGAAGTAAAAGTAATATAACCCTCCTAAATTAAGAAGCACGTAGCCCTTTATAGCCACGAATCCCAGCCATCTCAGCAGAGACCAGGACACAAACTGGGATGCTGACTGCCAAAAAAAACCCTGTATCTGTCCAGGAATAAAGCAATTCACACTTAGCCAGCATTAGTACATCAAACTTTGTTCAGATGTTGGGGACTTGGCATAGCACTATTATGGGGTGCTTTGGATGCTAGAAACCAAAAGAGCAGGCACCAAACTGGTTATGGAGTTAAGGATTTGATCGGAGGATGGAGCTGCAGAGTAACAGACCCAAGGGGGAGCTGCGAGGCAGCCCTTGCCAGAGCACTGTTGTAAACTGTCCTTAAGAAACAGCAGAACGGCGAGGGAGAAATGTGACCTGCACAGCTGGCAAAGCTTTCTTGTGTCTTTCAAGAGGCCTGCAAATAGCCCCAGCCTCTTTCTTCTTTCTTTAAGATAAATTCTCCAGAAGCTCTGGGGGAGAAACTGAAACAAAAATTAATACAAATACAGTTAAATCCATGTGTTAGGCAAACACATCGGCACACACTGGCTATCTCTTCCTGCTACAAGTTAGGGCTTGGGCAGACATGTCGAGGTGGAAATGGCATGACACATATTCTGCCCCACTAAGAAGGCACCACATTCAGTAATAAGACTCAATCTTCACTTCACTAGGGAGCAATATGAAAAGAGCGCTCTTAATTCTGGATTTCAGCTAAGACCAGTGTATCATTTAACTGCCCATCCTTACCTCCTGCTCCCCATCCTTGAGGTCCATCACTGAACAGCTTACACTCAAGAATTAAAACAGTTGCTCTCCTTAAAGTCCCAGCTCCTCAGTGTCCGGCACAGTAAGCCTATGCTGCTGGTGATGATGTGAGCTCGACCTGGTGACTACCTCCAGAACGCTACTCAGCTGAATAAGCGTATTTTTAGTATCTGTGACAGCATTTTCTTCACCTTAAAACATTTCCTACCCCATAAGAGCACAAAACACAGATGTGGGAAGTGCCTCTTACAATCATAAAGCTTCAGGGATGAATCATGGGGAAAACGGCTTCCAAGAACCATGTTTGCAGGAAAGCAGAATGAGCAGGATGTGACTGACAAAGAGCTCAGTGCTTGTTTAGCTCCTGCCTTCCCTTTCCTTCTTCACTTACCAGTTAATTAAAACAGCAAAGAAAAAGCTGAAGCACTTGATCCTCCCCCAAATTGCTGAGGGGTTTGTGTGCGGGCAGCTCCACCACTGACAGGCCCCAAAGCGCTTTTAGAAGTGCCTTGTGTCAGCAAACAGGAGCAAGTATAAGGAGATAGACTTAATTCAGGCAAACTGTGGAAAAAAATATTCTGTGTTTTTGGACTAGGAGTGTAACTGAAAAATAAGGCATCTGTAACCCATCCTGAGTGCAAACAGCAACATTAGTGACCAAATTCTATGATTCTATGAAATACCTTGGAAGCATTTTAACATCAACTGTTGTATCAAAATCTCACCTTATTGTCCCATGAAGAGGATTACCAACTGCATACTGAGCTGTTCCATCACCGTGTAGAAGGGATGCCAGCAACATTCAGTTTCACAGCAACAGCTGGGGTACAGGACAGAAGTGTTCAATGATCTGCAGCACTTCAGCAGCTTAAACACAAAGCCAAAGCGGTGTCGGGAAGCAGAGCCACCTCCTGCAGCTCCTGAGACCTTGCATGGTGAACGCTGACACACATGCTCAAATCTGAGCAGTGTGCAGGGCAATGGCTTTAATGTATTCATTCCTAACACAAGCACCTGTGTCCCAAGGACCAGATCTCTGCAGAAAACTATTTCCTCTTGATAGATTAAGTAAAATCTGAATAGATACTTGAAAAACATCACGGTAGATCATCCCACCCTAAAGTAATACTTCAATCCTACCGGTGAATGGATGTTTTATTGAAAGTGTGGCATGAAACACTTCACTGAGTATAAATTTATAAGCAGCTCTTGATGTATGGGAGATTTTTGGCAAGGTTTCCCAAATAATGCAATTCACAGTACAGTTAATTTAGAAATGTCTGCTCCTTGCTTTTGATATCAATTTAGAAAAAAGGAGTTGGTGAACTTCCAAATCATAAATGATGTATTTTTCTCAATTATAAAATATTATGAATTTGCAATCTTTTTATTCTAGTACTCAAGGAACTGCCAGCTATTTAAAACTGCACCTTTATCATTATTCACAAAGTTTAACAAAAATAAATACAATTTTGAGGTTGTCTTTGGCATGTCGTAATTCAAGGCAACAGTGCAAAGAAAAACAACATACCATACAATGCCCTACCAGAGTCAGCCTTACAACAAGAGAACGTAGTACAATGCAAACTTTAATGTCAATATATACAGAGCTTTAAAGAAAACATTTGTTTTTAAAATTAAATGAAATAAATACAGTATGATACAAAATCCACAATATGCTCAGAGAAAGAAATGACAGTTACAATATCTGATAACGGGGACCTTTTTGTATAGTTTCATCTTTGAAGTACCTCAGAGAGCATGTAATTCATTGCACACCGTCTTCAATTAATGCCCTTTCGTATACTGAGATTTATAGCCAGTCACGTGCCAGAAGACTTTTAGCTCTAATCGGAGTATCAGTGCAAGATGCCAAAGTGCTTGGGATATTATGACAATGCAAACGCTGCTCATAAGCCTAATGCAAACCACACAAAATAGGAACACTTTGTCCTGCAAAGGAGATCCACCTTGAGCATCTTTTCAGTTCTCACATGAGAAAAAAAACCCAACCAACAAAGAACCCAAAAGAAGATTCAATGTTATTCAAACTTACTACTGGGAATAAGCAACTGCCCAAATCTTACTGAAGATACATAATCTATTAAGTATCTTTTAAAGCTTTCAAAGAAAGTTTGCTTTCATTACACAGGAAAAATCTCAAGAAAACCAGTCACCGATTATTTGGGGGGGACACTCCTAATGACATAAATTATGGTAATTCAAGTCAGCTTTATCTATATATTAAGAGTAGGGGGTTTAAAATCTGTATTCATTCTTCTAATCCCAAAAGAAAATGTAGGCTTAACACTAACATAATTTGGGGGAATAAAGTTTTAAAAAGCACACTGACAAACAGCATTCTTAACTACATGGGTGTTAATGCAAAAGGATGGTACGGTATGAACGACAGCGCAGGCATGCTAACAACAGGTATCAACACACACCCAAGAAAGCTTTAGGATGAACTTTCAAGGAGATCTTTTACTTTTTCATCACCTAGAGCTCCCATAAGATTATATATGGGCTTTTATCACAGCCTTCTGAAAACTTTGAGAGAGAAAAATCTGCTCCTCCCTTCCCTCCCACAGATACGTGTGAACTTCTCATTCTGGACAGGCCTAAAGAAAACCACGTAAGTGCTACAGAAACACATAAATCCCCATGTCTGCATTGATGTTTGAGCCTGATTTCATTGATACAAGTCAGGATACTTACTACAGAATTGTGTAATTCTTTTAGCTCAATTCTTACAAGCTATCCCAACTTTTTAACTGCAAAATTTGAGGACAGAGTGCAAAGCACTGGATGCAGAAATCTATCACTGCAAAATGGCCAGTTTGTAAGTATACTGCAAGTAACTTCTAGCTGTTCAGGACTGCTACAGATAATTTTAACTGTTGGACATATAAAGATCAGCTTTGGAAAAATGAATTAAACCATGGAAGATGGAATTCAAGCTTAACACGACTCACTTGGGTCAGGTTTTGGATGCCTTCTCTGGATGCAAGGAAAACGTTTAAATCACACTACAAGACAGGTCTCAAACGGTCCCTATCCCTTAGACCCCATACACCTCAGGCTCTTCACACGGTCAAAGTAAATATACCAGTTATAAGCATAGTAGAAAAGAAGCCCCACACAATATGGTAACAGCATTGAGACAACACAAGCCACAAAGGAGTGGCTTAAATGAACCCCTTGTGGCAATGAGTATAGGCTCTCTTTGTTACACACCACTGGCTGACATTGATGCCACTGCATAGAATTTGGATACGTAACAGGAATACAAAAGAGTTCCCCACTTTTTAATCAAAAGGATAAATGAAGACAGAAACCACGATATCCGAGAGGTGAAAGAACAGCACAGTATGTCATAAGCCTGCTCCAGCTATAGCTGATGTATCTAGAAATCTCTCTTCAGAGAGAACTTATCAGGCTCTACATGCTCTTGAGAACTAGCATTTATTTATAATTGCCATCACCAAACATCAGAGCAGAAGCTCTTTTGCTGTCAGTAACAGACAAAGCATTATATCACTGAATACTTAGTTCTCTGGAAATCCCTTTGAATACTTAATATATATGGCCATTTCTTTGTAATGGCAAATCTTTATTAAAAAAAAACCATACTTTTTCTTTTTAAAAAGTAAATCAGTAAGAAAGACTGTAACTACTTTGTAATCTTGAACAGTGCAGAGATGATACAAAAAGGAAACAATTTACGCTAACCTCTTCCTCTAGCCAAGAGCATGTTTGAATTGAAAGAACACTGAATTTGAACATTGAAGTGATAATGCAGACCAAGCTACTTTTATACAATTACTTAGCTGAACAAAACCCATGTTTGGGAAAAAAAAAAAAGTTTGAGAGGTATGCAAGAAATTAAAAAAAAGAAGTATCACACAGGAGAGGATCATTAAATACTACGGCGCTCAGTAAACTGCAAGGGAACTCTTTTGCATCCCTGCATATCCAAAATGTTTCAAAAACTGATATGCTGAATTATTCATAGCAAGTGAACTTCCCCCTCCAATTAACAATTACAACTGGAATACCAGGGTACACTGGTCTGTCAGATAGAACAAAAGTGTTTTTCTACATATTTGCCTTGTGATGAGACAACTTTGTAATGCTGCAGTCACTGAAACCTTGCTTTCACCCCAGGAGTACCACCTGCACTAAAGGCTAGTAATGACAGAAAAACAGCAGGGACTACTTTATAGAAGATGCTTTAAATTCTTTGCTAGGAATAGAGAACATCCATCTTGTTTGTGTACTTTTCCTCTTACACCTGTCTGTTGCACACCAAGAACTTGCGTACCTTCAGCTGCTTACAACTCCTTTTGTGCAAAATGCTTTTAAGGTGCTTATAATGCGGTGCTTCTAAGTAAGCTAAAAGAAAATACCAATATAAACACTGTTAAATGATTCATGAATAAAGCCATTAAAGACCAGCTGCTGCCTTATGGGAAAGGTGAAGACAGCTCAGGTTTGACATTTTAGTTGTGTTCTGCACCTTGCATTACCCTCTATCCCTAACAGTTTTTACTACTACAATTCAACCCACACTATACCTTGGCCTCAGCTCAGGGGGCTTTATTTCCACCACTTTATTGTGTTTTGTCCTTTTTTTTTGTTAGAGTGAATCCATATTCTTCTGGCAGTCAATTGTGAATTTACAAAAAAATTTATACCAATAGCCTGAAGAGGCTTACAGGCATTCCTGCTGCCAAAGGTCTTCAGTAATGAGTAGAAGGATGAACCAGCTGCATAAGGGGCAGATTTTGTACTAAACAATAAGCTTTCCAGGCAGCAGTTGTGCTCTTTGATAAGCTTTCAAGCATTTCAAACAGGCACCTCAAAACTAGGCACAAATGGCCCCTAAAGCTTCCAACATCTATCAAACACTCAAGAAATTTAGTATGGGGTATGTTCTGCATGATACAAATAGCACACCTATGTTTGCTATATTCATTAAGTCTCAAATCTACACATATTCTTACCTAACTATTTGGCCAGATAACTTCCATCTTCCCCCACCACAACAGAAGAAAGCAGTTTATCTAATAGTACTTCCAATGTCACCAAGTACTTCACAGGTACAAGCAAAAACCAGCCAGCACCCTCTGCCTTTTAAGATCCAAGTTACTACTCCCACTCTGGACAGTAGGGCCAGAACTCTCCTGAAAGCTATTTTTTTCCTGTCTCAGGATGCCAAGTTCTGCCATCACTGGTGTCTTGTAATTGGCTACCAAAGGTACTTGGGACACGAAATTCAATGATGGCAAAGCAGTCTGAACTACATTTGATTTTTTGGTCACTTGGATTCTCTGCTCATAGTCTAACTGTGGTCACACATACTTAGTATCTAAAATGTGTCCCATTCTACCGTGACACTACAACTGCACAGTAGTGGCTACAACTTTTGAAAATACTTTTAAGCTCATCATCATTGAATGCACTCGTTCCCAGTCTAAAAGCAGTTAGCACTGATTTCGAGGCAGAAAACCCCAAGATAATTCTGGCCCTGAAATTCATTTCCTTCACATCACAGCACCCAGAAACAGCTGAAGTTCTAACATCAAGACAGAGAGGGTGAAGAACTGCTGGCGACAGGATATGGTCAATAACTTGTCCATAACTGTGAAATGTCTTGGTGAGAATTCCCTTACCTGGGCACACTGCAAGGCTTATTTATTTTCCCGAGCTACCCCTACAGTTAGGCAATTAGAATTTTGCATTTATGTCCTGTAATATTTGTACATGCGGCAAGAGATTCAGATAGAAGCAATGTCCTATAAAAATCAAATAAATAAAAAATAAAATCCATGTGCCAAGTTTGTTAGAATAAAGTGTCAGTTTGTCTTATATACCAAACAAACTTTATATTGTGTATATTCAGTGGAAACAACTGCCAAGGAAACAGTAATATAGTCGTTGTACTAATGGATAGACAAAATAAATAAAAGCATCGGATTGAATGATGTCTTAAAGCGGTACCAATGTTACTGAGATCCTTAATTCTGGCAGTTTATACACATACTTACTTTCTCCAGCTCAGTGCAGGACACACTACCATTCATAGTAACAACTAGAAATGTTAATTTTCCTGTAAGAGGCCATTTGTTAACCCCCACTTCGTTTGGGTCACAAGTGATCCAATTAAGCTTATGGGTAAAAGTGCAGAATCTTACACATCCCTTTTGTTTGTATTTTCACATAAACTTATCAGTTACTGGCACCATGCAAAAACAGACCCTCCAAATTAACACTAATGCATTTAACACTGGCACGATACATTAGTCAGCTTTTTGTAATAGCAGTGAACAAGTTAATTAAGTTAAATGAGTAAGTGCCCAATTACAAAGAATTTGTCCTTCACAACAGGGTCTAACGGTGTGAAGAGAAGAAAACTTACACTGACACTTTATGTACAACTTGGTCATTGGCAACGGTCCCCTAAACCATTTTTTAAATGAACCCAGCAAAACTATACAGAACGTGAAAGAATATTTGCAACAGATCTCTTAAAGGACAGTGTAGAGAAATTCATCATGGTGTACCTGATGTTTAAATTAATTTAACAGATACGGCCTGTAAAACAACACAGTATGAACCTGTGGATTTCTTTTTTTTTTTTTCTTTTTAAAAAAAGGACTTTTACAGAATTCAAGTAGTGTAGCAGGAAACCATAGATGCCTTTTTTGATCACAGGTCAGGCAAAATAGAGCCACTTATTGGATTTTCCCCTTGCTTCTGTTTGCTAAGGTGTCCCAGTGGATCTATAAGTCTGTTGATGTTAGCTTTTTCATGCTCCGTCGCTGAGCTAAACTGGAGGCTGCAACAGGCTCTAACACTGGCTGAAATGTCTTGTGATTCAGTGCAGAATATGTAGCAGCCATGGCTCCCTAGAGAACAATGAAATACAGGAAAGCCTGTAAAGGTCATTTTCATCAAAAAATAAAGAAAATAAATTCTTAATTAACTCTGTAAAAAAACCCCACAAGACTTAAGGCAGGTCATGCATGGTCTCTAAAGTTTGTTTTGAAAAACAAACAAAAACATTTATTGCTGCATCCTTCAGGTGTCTAAGCGCAGGTGTCTGACATTTCTTATTCTTTCCTGCATATTGCTTTTACATACCTCAGATGTAGAAGTCACCCTTTAGTATGGGTCAGAATTAGTACCTTCCAAGAACATGAGCATCAATTTAACAAATACAGCCACGAAAGTGATTATTCAGGTCCTGACTTATGAAGACAACACAATTAAGACTGGCCATCACATGTTGCTGGTTTTGAATCCAACAAAACTAATGAAGCCAACCTAAAATCTGCCTGCATACAGTAGAATGTTTTTGTGTCAAGTCAGAAACACTGATAGAGAACAGATAAAATACCAGTGGAAAAAGCCTGTAACATAGTTTATTAACTTATGCTAGGAAAGCACAATATGAGCCAGCCATAGAAACAAATCCCAAAGGATTACTTGAATAAGAATGCTAGTAGACATATGGCAATCTGTCTCCAGTAACTTTCTTACCAGGTTTCTGTAGGGCCAAAGTTATCTTAATCTCTGAAAACAAAACACCCAGGAAAACCTCTTCCTTTATACACAGGTTAATAAAATGTGTTTATCCATAATTTATCTGCATATGTAGCTCAAATATCTCGGTACCAGGAAAAACAACAGGAAAACAAAAGGAAAAAAAAAGTTCTGCCTGTAGCTCTAAAAGCAACCCAATTCATTGTGCATCTACCAGCTCAGGCAACAGCCAGCCTTTCGGTTGTTTTACCTTTACTAGATGTGGTGCATCTTGCCTGTTTAGCTGATAATGTGGCAACTGGTCTCTACAGGCTATCCATGAATGTTTCAATACTTGCTCTGCTGTATACCGCTGATGTGGATCTACGTGAAGCATATGTGATAACAAGTCCTAGATAAAAATGAAAACCACACGCATTATTTAGTTAAAATAATCTTATGCAGACTTTAAAGCATTAACTAAGGCAGCAGTGAAGAAAAGAGTACCCTATACAGCAGGGATTAACACAATGCAAATATACACACACAAAAGTCTGCAGATAAATTGGATCATTCTGTGCCTTGACACTGCAGAAGTCTGAAAACAATGTGTTGTACTATTTAAACAGTTCAACAGAGCAAGCCTTTATTGTAAAGAAACCTACTCTTGTTTGTTTCATATTTCAGTTGCTTATTAATATAATCTTTTAAAGGACTAGAAATAATACTAAAATTTAGCAAACATTTTACAGAAGAAAGCTATTATTTGCAAACTTCATTTGTACTACATATTAGGGGTCTATGTATTACAACTGAATTCATATACAGGGATATACTATTAATGAATTTTTCCTTCAAGGAACCATACAAAGAGTAAAAGCAACAAAAATGGACACTTGTGTTTGCCTGTTTAGAAGCATTAGCAATAAGCTACTAATTACAATGTTGGTCAAAGGAAGAGCTGGGTGGGAAGGGCACAGAGCAGATACAGAATAGCTTGAAAGAAAACAAAACACGAACAAGCTGACAGAATGTTCCCTTTGCTAGGTACAAAACATTAAGCACTCTTCCATATACTGAAGTGAATTACTTGTGCTAAGACAGCATCGCCCAATAAGCATTCTGAATCACTCTTATCAAAATGAACAAGTAGTGCAGTTCTAGAGGGATCAAGAAAAGATTTAATATTAATGCCAAGCTTTATAAAAGGTAACGCTGGTGACTAAGATACCTACAGACCACGCTAACACCAAGCCCAGACAACACATACAGCAACTGATGAGTGATGCTGTCTTTAAATAATAGGGGCAGATGTATAATCAAGCTGCTCAAGAGTTTTTGGCAAGACAGCCAAATATGTTTGGTTGTTAAAGTACTAGTTTAATTGCTGGAAATACTAACATGCTGATGAATTCAGCATTGAAATATTAACCTATTCAAGCAAGACTAATTAGCTATTAGAACTAACAATAATTGCAAAAAGTCATCCTTCCATTCTGATTTTGATTCAAGTAAAAACAAGAAATAAACCCAACTGACTATTAGAAAAGCCTATACTGGGACCTATCTTCTTTAAGTGACTGGGGAAGGAAGAGAGTACGCTCTCATTGAGTTTGCAGTGGGACACCAAGCTGGAGGTGTGGAGAATGGGCCGATGAGTACAACGGCAGGGCAGCCATCCAAAGGGACATAGGCAGGATGGCAAAGCTGCTTCCCCATGACAACAGGCGAGCATTGGAAAAGGCTTCCCAGACAAGCTGTTCAGACACCACCCTTGGAGGTTTTTAAAGTCTGACTGAGTAAAGCCCTGAGCTACCTGGTCAGATGTCACAGTTGACCCTGCTATAAACTGGAGGTTTGGCCACATGACCTTCACTACAATAAAGTCTGCAGGCAATAATGGCACACTACTGTGTTAGTCTTTTATGAAGTTCAGCAGATGTTCATTCAAATTATACAAAAAAATGAGAACAAAACACATTTACACCTTTGCTGCATCTGAAACTGTGTCCCAGTTGCCTCCACTTAAGGAAAATTTTCCACTGCCTATCCGTACCAGGATCTCCTCTGGAGTATCATTAGGACCATTGGCGAATGGAGTATAGCTGTTGAAAGGAAAAAAAAAGGAAAGCCAAAATGCCTTATTATAGGTAAGAAGCTGCAAGAAACTGGTAAAATCTCATGAATCATTACAAGTCTGCCAATAGAAACACACTATATACTATTAAATACTTCTTATATTAACATTTCATCTTCAGAACTATATTATTTTAATTGTGGTTAATCAAGTATAATAATACTTATGATAATAATAAAGCTTAATAATAATTAATTTTAATGCATTCTATCTCAGTACTTTGAAAGCACTGCATAGATCAACAGCATCATCAACAGAGGTTTAGGAATGATCCCAGACAGTTAGTTTTAGTCTTCCAGCTGATGTGCTTAAAAGGAACAAAATGGAAAGACAGGAATACATGCTGGACCACTCCTACCCCCTACTTTTAACCCGCTATACCTTTTATTCAGACAACGTTTCTCAAGTGTGCAGGCAGCATACTGCCCAGTCTCTATCTGCATATTTGCATTCAAATCATACAGGAATCCTAGTTTTTATGACAGAATTGTGGTGGTGGCAGTGATTTTACAAGAACTACAAATTTATCAAGGGGAACAGTTTCCAACAGATAGTGTTTATCTGTAAGACAAAAAATATTTGGCCACTGAGCACCTCATAGTGCTTAATGGAGGTTTAGAAAACTTAAGAGGTTACAAGCCAGTGTGCTCTACAAAAGGGCCAGGACTCAAGCCTGGGACAGGAGATACAAGGTGGACTACAAGGGTGCCAGGGTCGGGAGGACAAGGGTCAGAAGGAGAAAGAAAACACCACATACTTTTACAGACCAAGTTGTCTCCTGGAAACTGGGACAGACTTTGGCATCTCTAAGTCATGCACTATAGAAGAGAAACCTTGAACCTACCTATGAGATAAGCCTACTTTATATACACATGTACATAAGATTCCTGTTCCATTGCAGTGTCTTTGACATTCTGCATTCAAAAATCAGTCAGGTAATATCTTACCATTTTAACAAAAACACGGATTCACACAGCATGCTGGAATTTTAGGTAAACAGAAAAGCTAAGAAATAGTTCTCACCCTGCCAACATTGTGTAAAGAAGAACACCCAAGCTCCATATGTCACAGGCAGCATCATATCCCTGTCTCATGAGAACCTATAAAACAAAAAGCATTAAAAAATTCTCAGTATTAAAAGACCACCCCAAACCAATACCACTGCACAGCCTAAGGAAGGGTGAGTCAATCCCAGGATTGACTATTTTTTGATATACAGAGTACAGCAGTACCAACACTACTTCTTGTCCCCAGAACATCATTTCTGAAGGTTTTCAGGAGGCTTACATCTCATTTTTAAGGGTGGATTCTGCTATTTTTAAAGCAGGTTTATTATAAACATATGCACAGTGTTTATTAAAATATGTATAATTCTATTTAAGGAAAACTAGCAGAATTTTTTTCTTTTTTTTTTTTCTGAAGCACTGCTACAAAGTTTAAGTACTTGATGCATCAAAACCAGCAGTGAGAACACACGCATCAGCTTAAGGTACCTCTGGCGCCACAAAGTTGGCAGTGTAGCATGGAGTCAGAAGTAGTCCATTTTCTCCTCGAAGTTGTTTTGCAAATCCAAAATCACAAATCCTGATAGAATCAGCATTATTTGAATCATCCGTATATAAAATATTACTAGGTTTAAGGTCTCGGTGCACTACCTTCAAACAAAGAAATTTTAAAATCCATCACTTAGAATTTGCATGTATATTTGTACATAATTTACATTTAGAAAAACTATTCTCTAGATTAACATACTTATTAAGAGATCTACACAATTATGTAACTTCCAAGGAACAATAAGTTCTAGTTCAAGGAATGTAATAAAAAAGCCTACTGGCTCATAATGAAACTGGAACATAACCATTTGCCCATGAGCCTAAGAGAACAAATATCTGCTGTTTCATAAACTGTACAATTAGAGTCTTATGGGCTTGCCAGAATAACAGGATGAGTTGTTTATATTATTCACGTTTGTCATAAAATACTCAGAAAACCTCTTCCCTTCTGCCATAAAAAGCAAGCCAACTAAAGCACATAACTAAAGGCATGTTAATTCTAAGAAATGTGGAAGCAGCTATGTCATGGAGGAAATCACTCACTCCTTGGCAGTGCAGGTAGTCCACAGTCTTGGCTATAGTGTATAATACAGCGCTAGCCTCTCGTTCAGAGAAGAACTTCTGTCTGAGAATTCGATCAAGCAGCTCTCCTCCTTTCATCAACTCTGTGACAAGGTATATGAACCTACCATCATCATACACCTGAGGAGAAATTTAACAAGTGCATGCATATATAAATACAGATTATCTCTTAAAACCATCATCTATAATTATGTATCCTGATAAATGAAAGTTACAGACTAGATTGTTCACCTCTTCACATATGAACATAAAGCACAAACAGCAGGGACTGTCTAATTTAATTCTGCAATGCAGGAGCCTTAAAGCACGAAGTATAGGGCAGCTTATTGGCATTCTGTGAGACATCAAGGTAATCAGTTGTTAATTCATGAATCAAGTTTTATCAGACTAAGAACTTCTGCTGCAATAGGAGTGTAGCCCTACTGCTCCTGTTGCTTTTCCCCTCCATGGACAATTTTCAGCTGCCAGCACTTCGCATATACGGACAACATGCAGCTGCTTTTTCAGATTCACATTGCCAACACATTAGCTACTTGCTCAAAATAAGATGAAACACAGTATTTCTAACTTTTACATAATTTCTCTGTGTAAACAGCACCTTACTATATGTACTGCTCTTCCAGTATATTTTATTATGTAAAAGAAGTTAAATGAATCCCAATAAGCTTTCTACATCTATATTTATTTGATTACTGTGCAATAAGAGACAGCAGAGAAAGAGAGGTACATACATCCTTTAAAGTAATAATATTTGGATGTTGTCCATAACGCATGAGAATCTCAATTTCTTCTGAGGGGTCCCTCTTACTTTTATCAATTATCTGCAAAATACAGCAACAGGAAAAACAACTTAGCTAAACAAAGCGTTTACTCCCACTTCAACAACAGAATAAAAAAAATATTTCTAGAGTTCATTACTTCTTACTAATCTCAATTAATTAATCTTCCATCTTCACATCCCACTGCTTATTCATTTCTTGCTCTATCCTTACTAGCGATTAAAATTATGTCATTAATGCAGTCCATTCTGCTCCAATGGACAAGGAAATGCAGTGGACTGTCTGAAGCATCACTAATTCCCTGCAGTCCCGTTCCACCCTTGTGGATTTTATTTTATTTCAGCTGTTACCATCATGCAGTACTTTCAGGCTTCCAGACTAATTGCAAAGCCAGATCTTCAAAACTTTACCCAGAAAAAAGAGCTAAAGAAGCCAATACCAAATTTGAACAAATGAAGCAAGCACCATTTTTCACTTCCCACAGCATCTAAATATCTCCACTGCCTAGAAAATTCAGGTATTTAAATTTACAAAACTACTATGCAATAGTTTCAGAACTGTCACAAGGAAATTTATTTAAAGTACCTTCACAGCAAACTCCATATTCGTAGCTATGTGGATACATCGCTTGCAAACAGAGTAGGAACCAACACCAATATCTTCCTTCAGCTCATATACATCAGTAAATTGTGCGCCGTTTCCATGAAGCTGCTTAACAAAAAAACACATACAATCTGTCACCTAAAACAATAAAACGCTCGTCGCCCATAGTACTGTTTTCAACAGCAAAAGTTTTTTCTGGTTGCCCACAATGTCTCTTATGAATTCTGCCTCCAGAAAAACAGCAACACACTCTAAAATTTAGAAATATCCCTTGGAAACATTCTAATAATGCAAATTTTAAGTCTCCCCAACAAAAAAGAACAGACTGCAAACACTAAATATTGGTCTTTGGCATGTCAAAAAAGTTTCCCCAAAAATATACCTAGGACGTACCTGTACTATTGGCAGTATATTGGTGAGTGGTGATATTTTATGATCTTCCACAGTAGTAGTTGCCACAAAACTAAATCCTTTGAAGAGCTGATGTGCATTCGCACTAGGTGGGACTCCTGGAGAATCTAGTGGCATGCACATTTGATTAGTGTGGCTAAATCCCAGCAAGGCTATTTTTTAAACATTCAGGAGAGGTATGTTAGAAAAAACATTTTGAGGCAAGGGGAGCAAACAAGAATAACACCAGATGGTGAGTAAGACTTCCAGTCGTTTTTCTGTCTTCTCTTATTTCAATACCAAACACAAAGCAAGTATTCCCTGGTTTCATCTAAAACTGCAAGATACTGCAGGAACCAGTGTCAGAATACATGTTCTTAGGAAGAAGTTTATTAAAACAACACTACTACTTATGAGAAAGAAATAAAGATCACAGTCTTATGATCAAGGACTGCATAGCAAAGATGAGCGCCCACAGATTTTGCTACTTCAGTGGTATATGTGCTGCTGGCAAGGCAGAAATGAGACAATACAAGACATTCAGTTAGTAATACTACTGCATAATTAGAACCAAGTTTTTCTCAAAATATATGTACTTCTGAATCCACTGAAATTTCACAGCAAGCACAGCCTGATAATTCTGTGTAGTCTATTAGAACCATAGATGTTCTCCAAACATGACAAGTGGTTTTAAAAGTAAGATGCGGCAGTAAAGAAAAACTCACAAAAGAAAACCTGAAATGAAGCCTGAAGCATACTAAACAGTGTTTGCACTTGCTCTGTTTCCAAGTTCAGTTACTTGGAAATTTTTGTGGTTCAATAACTTAAGGGATATTTTAAAGATAAATTTTCATAAGCTTCTTAAAACTGGCTTTTCAACTGATCTAGTTGTACAGGTACTCAGTCCACTCTGCATCTTCCCCACAGTTCTATACCTTTGCGTCACCATTTTCTAAGGAGTAAAGTCAAGTTCAGCATGGGTAGTGAAGGGAACAGCTCAATGAAAAGGCATTATAATACTAGTTCTAAGATTTAATTTGAATAATTATAGTAAGCAATGGGCTTAAGAAAGTTACTTAAAGCAAGTAATTTTCAGTGGAATACTGACTCTAAAAATAATCACTGCTGCAATCAAATTTGGTTTACTTATTGCAGTAAATGCTTTCCCCCACAAGCACTGCACGTCTGGCTTAGCATCTGAATTATGGTCTCAAAGCTACGGCTGATTCACCAACAGGAAAAAAAAGGAATATAAAAGTATAGCAAAATATTTCAAAGAATAGAAACCACCAAGGGAACATACTCCTTCAAAGTATGGGAAACCTGTTACACCCTTTCCTTTTAACTTTGACTTCTTTGTTTGCTGTTGTAACACTAATCTGACCCCTCTTGTCCCACAAACCTCATCAACTTATAAACATGCACAATTTACCTTTTGGTGTTTTTGCTGTGAATTCTGGATCAAAACAGAAGGTATCTTCTGGCTTTCCAGAAGCAGGTTTAAATGGAGGTTGAATTTCTCTTCTGAACAGTTTCTAAAGTAGGAGGAGGAGAAGATCATAAAACTAAGAGTGAATGAAATTTCCACAGGTGCTACAATTTTGCAAGCTAGAGGGTAAGCAACTCCAATATTATTATTTAATTAAAACAGTTTTCTGAAAGAGTGAACAATATATAGCACGTAGAAAACCACAAATATATATGGAAAGACTGCTTTACTTTCATGGAGCTTTGATTTGAATTGCTACAGTAAATGTTACCAAACAAGTCAAACAATACAGAACTTTTCCTTATTCTTCTGAATGCGCCTCATCTACCAGATCAGTACTTTTAAAACTCTAACAGGCTGTTACTTGTCACTAGTTCCTCCGTGGCTTATCCAGAAAAACACGGAACAGCCATAGCACCTCTTACCTTCTGCCAGCACCTCAGACCTGGTTCACAGCTCTTTTGTCAGAACCCTGAAAAACCCATGCCAAAAGGGAAGACATGGAACACAGTCTTCACCTTGCTCTTCTGGGTCCCAAAGACTTCTCACGAGTGACAGGCACGTACCTTTTGGCAAGGAACTGCCAGTTCTCAAAGCTCTATTCCATTTTTTTCCCTGGTCTAATATACTAAATTAGGGGGAAGGAAGGAAAAAGCTCCTTCTTTCTTTCTACTTTACTCAATATGCTGTAAAAAAATGCATTGCCTTGGTCATCTCAAATCTGCAATAAGCCCCATTCACAGTTAAGGAAAAGTCAAGCAATGTTGCAGCCCTAAGCAAAGTTCAGGAGGTTCTGAGAACATTTTCTTGGCATTTCTCTCATCCTTTCAGACCTGTTTTTTTGCAGTTCTTCTCATTTAATCTTCCTGCACAGAAACATGCAACATATTTCAATAAAAAGATAAATAAAACACAAAAACCCACATAAAACACACAACCAAGGAAGAGGGACCCGAACTCATCCAAAGAAATAACGAGGTAAAATACAGGAGTGGTCATCAACACTGTAGTGAAATAAATATAAAGCACTGCCAAATTAAAAAAAGGGGGGGAAAAAAAAAAACACAAAACCCCAGAAACTCTGCAGATCTTTCAAACTTCCTCACTGATATTTAAAAAAAAAAATGACAGGACTTATGAAGCGTTCTAACATGAAAGTTTTGCTGTTACTGAAAACTCTACTTGCTAAACAGGACTTTATGGTGGATACTGCATAAACACAGCTAGAAAAAACACCTTCTCAGAAGCAGATACAAGAGATAAAGAGAAGGATCACAATAGCAGGCTTTACAGAAACAGCTGAGCACTGTATTGGCTGGCATTGCAGGTAGTCCTGTCTGTATCCTTTTGTAGGTACTATAGCAAAGGAGTGTTTTCAGCGTGGGTTTATCTGATATAGAGCATCTGGGGTTTGAGAATGTTTCTGGAAACACATCTCAAAAGATTATAGACATCTACAGAGGAAAAGCTTTAAGGCACTTGTTAAAAATTTAAGCAAGCAGTCATGAACTTGTACAGACTCCAGATCATCGCAGTCAATACTTGAGCTGTGAACACAGTATGACTGATAAAGTCAGAATGTGCTGCAGCTAACTAGAGAGAAGTCAAAGAGAATCACAGTCACAATGAGCTTTTGTGCCCCACATGGAAGCACTAGACAGACATTTACTGAAGAGAAGGATTCCTGCACACAGGCAACATAAGCATCCTCCCCCAGCTAGAGTGTTCTAACAGACAATTTAAGCTTTTGAATGCTGCAACTCTTCATTATTTACAAAGTAAATGCACATTTTATAATTATTACTCTCTATACCATAAATACTACAGCTCCACATGCCAAATTATAGAAGCCAGAACGTAACAGTCAGCAGTCCTGCAATGTTTACTGTGCCTTATTTGGATACAAGTACTTATAATGCTACAACATGTAGAAAAATTAAAACCAGCATAATTTGATTCATTTTGTACTTACATTCCAGTCAACAGTAGAAAAAAAAGGATGTCTCTTAATTTCTTCAACTCCATCTGAACCAGCTCCTGAGCAAAGGAAATACTGTATTTATAACACTTTTGGGTAAAGTTTTGAAGATGACTGCACTAAAAAATTAGTTAATTTCTAAAAACTTTGCACAGACATGGCAGAGAGAATTACAAATACAGCAATATTCTAAAGACTTAAAATACTCAATTAAGAAGCATACACCTTATCAGGGAGGCAAACAGATTACAAGAAGCCCATAATACAGTCAATTATCTTTGCTCTGACACTGTCAAAGCCTTGGCTCACTGCTACAGTTACGAAGAAAGTAAACTTTCATTAGCCAACCCCAGGAAGTCATGATCCAAACTAACAAAAAATGGTAGCTAGACCTAAATGCTACTGACCATCCAGAGCTTGAGAGTCTCTAGCAACTACTTCCTTTAAATAATCAACTTAACCCAACTACTTTTATTTCCAAGATCCAAATAAATGAACCAACCTAATCTATTTGATGGGTTCCTTTTAAACAACATCCTCAGAAGACTTTGTGCTTCAGGGCTGAGGAACTGAGGCATTCCAAGTTTTGCTCTAGAGGAAAACAGAGACCAAGTAAGAAGAAATGTATCTTGCCAAAAACTGTCTACACAGAATTTATTGCACAATCTGATGTATCAAGGATCTATTCCAAAGTCTCGTAGACTGTACATATTTAAATCAGCAGCTTTTAAATTTCATATTATATAAAAGAAACCAAACCCAAACATAAACAAAAGCCCAAAACAAATCTGAACAAAAAGACATCCTGACCACAGCTAAGCCCCCCAGACAAGCTTTATGCTAAAATAGAGTAAAACCCATTCTCAGGAATACATATTTTCAAAGATATCTTCATGTCACCAGGAAGCATCACCAAAATACCTCCACCAGAATCAATGCCAGAAGAGACTCAAATCCCAAATTACTTGCCCCTGAAGTGATTACTAATATTCCTCTTGAAACAAAAGCCTCAAGAAGTAGAAGCCTCATTAAGCCATCATATAAAATGCTTACTGACTTGCTAAGGCAAGAAGTTCTTCTCCAAAACTGTAGTATCACTTCAAACTCCAAGTAAGGCTAGTGATCTGATCGATCTGTTTTCACAGGTAATAACACTATAAAGTCATCCTCAGGGTAAGCTCAAACTGCTGTACGTTGGTAAGAAGAGAACTTCTCTCTCACCCCCTTCCCTGTCACCCCTTCAAAAGGCTCAAGGCTCTACATGTGGTCAAAAGCAAACTCTTTGTTAGCTAAGTGCAAATAAAGATGAGAACATATTTGCCCAACAGCTTCAATTAGTAATTACCAGTTTACCCAGTCTGTCCTGTTAGACAGCTTCTGGTGTAACTGATGTAATTTAATATGAAAAATGTCAGCCTGTATGTGCACTCTCCGTACCTACATACACAAAGCAACATCTGATTAACTACTGCTTACAAAATAAAGGATGCTGTAACAGCCTAACAACATCATGAGCGGTAAATAATGGTGGTCTAATTCACAGTACTGTTTTCACCTTTATTATACACCTACAATAAAAATACAAGTTAATCCCTAAGTTTTTAATTCCTGCATATACTTCATTGTATTTCTGTGATCTGGGATCCGAATCTTTCTGGGAGGGGGCTGGGCTTTCTTGTTCCTGTTCTTCCTAAAACTCTTCAAGCACAAGCAGCTACAACAAGCTGTTAAAACATATTTAAATGACATTTTCTGACTTTCCAAAAGTAAGAAGATATACTTACTTGAGTATCATATTCATAGTTTCATTTCGATCTTTACCTTGAAATGGTAGTGTACCAGTAAGCATTTCAAACTGAAAAGAACAAATGTTAATCTAAATCAACACTTCTTCCCCCAACTGCTCAAAGTGTTTAGTAATGTACTGTTCCCTATCTCTACATCAGACATACTGCCTTGAGCTTTTAAAAGATTATCCAAAAAGTTCACAAATCTAAAATTTGGTTGTCACTGGCACTTTACATGATAACAACAGTGGCAAGTGAGACACAATTATGATGTAGGAATATCTGAAATCCACAAACTACTCTAAGTAATAAAATCTCCTCCATAACCAATTCTTAGATGTTGCCATACTCTGAAAAGAACAAGAAGAATAAATTCTAAAACAGTACTTTACTTTTAATTTCAATGTGCATATTTCAGCCTGATGCTCTAACACATCATGACATAGGTGTGCTAGCAGTTACTGGTTTATTTCACTGCAACACTCCAGTATTCATTCAACAGGCTTACTCTTACAAAAATGCAATTAATATTCCATAAAACCAAGTATTCAGGGTGGGGTTTTTTTTAACTATCAAGTAATATCTGAAATAAATATACAAACTGAAGACTCACACTGACCACAATTGTTCTAAACTACCAATGGACTACATGTGATTGTTTTGGTTCCTGACAAGTACTCCTTATAGGGCTAAGCAGGTGAAAAGGGAATTTTATTCAGATTAGTTACTATTTCAGGTGACATCCAGTTATTATCTCTTCCCCTTACCCAAGCATTAGTAATTAGATCTGGACAAGCTTATTCTAATGACATTACTTCACATTCACTTAGACATATGCAATGTATTTGTGACCTTAAGCAAGGTAAGCAACGAAGCATACAGTACCATGAGAACACCAAAGGACCACCAGTCAGCACTCTGGTTGTGCCCTCGCCTGTTTACCACTTCAGGTGCCATGTATTCTACAGTACCACAGAAAGAATAGGCCTTCTTCTCTTGATCTACTGATTCTTTGCTGAGTCCAAAGTCTACAACAACAGCATTACAAGAATATAGCCAGTAAAGAACTTTAGAAAAAACAAAATACTGTACACAGTAGTTCAAAGTGTTGACAGCTTTTGCTTGCTTGCTTTCAGATTACTGTGTCACTATCCTAGCTCTTCATGAAACAAGAAACTGCAGATATCTAGAAATACTGCACACAACCAGTTTACTACATACCATTCTGTAAGTCCTATTAAATTGATTAGCCATCAATATTACTACTCAAAATACTTGTAATATTACATGATTAGAGCCTTAAGATAAATCAAAAGGTCTCATCTCTGTTTACTACCTGCTTTTTTCACATAAAAAATTGGATAGAAGTAAAAATCAGGTTCAAAGAGAACTCAGTCTGCAGGGTCTAGTATTACTGAATGATGAATAAATAAAATCAGACTAAAAATATTGTTGTTATATAAGACAACGTGGTTCTGCAACCTGACTCAAACTCAGTAATCTTGTATATCTGCTCACTTCCCTCCCAGATTCCTTTTTCTTCACTAGTTTGAACAATGCCACTGAATGATACGCAAGTCCTTGATATTTGCCCAACTCTCAAGAGTCCCTTTTTTCAAAGGGGAAATGACTGCTAATCAATAATCCCATAAATTATTCTTTCCAGTCTCAGAAGGAAATGAGAATTTTAGGAGATAACTGGATTTAAACATATAATACAGAATTTTTAAAATTATGCAATTTATAAACATGATTTCTTTCCATCGTTATTCCAACAATTTTTTGAGAGTTTAAAAAGCTTAATTTTATCTTGGAATTTAATAGGTAATATCGGTAGATAAAATATATAATGAAATCTAGAACATAAAAGCATAACCTGAAACATGATTTAAAGCTTGCAGAAATTGATTGCAATTTGATTTCCAAATAGTCTTACGCATTTGTAATTTCCCAGAATATATGTATTTTAATTGTTCCTCATAGAACATTGTTCTGCAATTTTGTATGCATTTCAAAGTGATAATCTAGACAGGCAAAAAAAGAAGTAATATTTCAGAAGTCTCACTGTACACTAAAATCTTTTTACACCAAAAGCACCTCTGCTCCCTTTTAAAAGTCTCAGTCAGCAAATTTAAGCCTGTCTCTACCACCTCTTGATCTTCTGTTAAAAGGCATTTCGTAGTAAATCTTGATACAGCTCACTTCCTAACCAGAGTGGTGGATAGTTTGAGTTATTAATGTACCACCTCCTGAACTAAAGCTCCCTTAAAAAACACGTTCAATGGCTGTTTTTTTTATTTCCAACTACTTTTCCTAAATTTTAAATACAGCAATTAGGATATGCAGTTAGCAATATTGCTCTTAGTACTGCAACCTGATCTACACAAATATTAGCCCTGAAAACTAACTTCAGGGGAACCTGCATGGACATAAGGATCTGAAAACTGCAAGATACAGTCTCTGGTGATCTAAAATACTTCAATAAAAGTACTTTTATAAAAAAAAATAAATATTCATATAGAGAAGTGATACAGATTTAAGAAGTCTGTCTAATCAATCAATTTCTAAACAGCTAAATACTGGCTCACACATAATCTAGCCATCACTATACATGTCTTAGGCTTGTAACTAAAAGCTTGTACAGGAATACGTTCAGAAAGTGCTATACTAGTAAGTGTTACCTACCTGTTAACTTGATATGTCCTGCTTCATCAAGCAAAATGCTGAAAATTAAAATTCACATTCACCAATACACATAAAGGGGAATGTTTACATAAAACATTTAACACATAAAAGTTAACAATTTTGATCTCCAATGGCTGTTATTAATTTAATAAGTCAATATTATCTCATTAAAATCACAGATATATTTTTTACATTTACATAGTCTAACAATAATATTTGTAATTTTTTACATCACTATAGTAGAAAATGCAAAGCAACAAGCAAAATACATGTAATAGTGGTAAAATACATTTTACTTTACTTTTCTGGCTTCAGGTCCCTGTATACAATTCCCAAGCTGTGAAGGTGATCCAAAGCAAGGGCCAGTTCTGCGAGGTAGAATTTCACATCTTCCTCTGTAAACATAACCTAATAAGAACTGTATAGATTTACCTTCTGATCTTGTCTTCAGTTTTTAAAACTGCAATCTAAAAAAATACTCCTGTCTGCCTGAATTTCAAATAAGTTTTAGAAGTACTTTATGAGCTCATAATTCATTAATTCACCTAACAGAAATTATATACTAATACAGGCTAATCATAAAGTATACAGTCAAACTACCTGCAATACTTAAACAAAACCATCAGAGCATTATTGCAGAGCATTAGCTAACTTTTAAGGTAATAAATGTTACACCAGCACCCCTGCCACAATCCTATACTGACTGCTTTCCACTGCATTGTAAAATTTAGTACATGACTGCTGTATTGAGTGACTGTCTTTGAATTCACATTAACAATATGTAGAAAAAGCAGAAATACTTTTTCAAAAGTACAGAAAATAGAACTGGTGAAAACAACAATTACATGAAAATCTGTAGTAGGAGATGAAGAACCCACCCTGCTCTTCTGAGGAAATTTGAAGAAACCTAGTGAGATACTGAAAAACTGACTGACATTACATACAGAGCATTTGAGTGATGCACTTCTATCCTCTATATTCAACTGGTTGCTTTTCATCTCGCATACAAGAATTGTACCTGCTTTGCCCCTTGTTGTGTTCTGCAAATTACTGGAATTGAGTCTGAGGTTTAAGTGAACTAGTCCTTTATTTATTGAAAGCACCAGGAATAAGGAGAACAGCCATCTCAACTGCACAGTAGATAGCTAACAACACTAAAATTAAGGTAACTGGGCGTACCAATTTAGCAGTATACTAATCTATACTTTGAATTGCACATATGTAACCTGCTCTACTGGCAACAGAAATATTCCTAATTTCCATAACAATAGGTATTAATGTTCTGTGAACAATAAAGCTGTTACGCTATACTGTTTTACCTAATTTTTTTTAAAGAGCATTATTGATACAGGCTTTTATCTGCATTCAGGAGAAACTTTGGATATCACTAATCCTTGGAGTAGTCAAAATGCAAACCTCAGAATGCAATGATGCTAAATGGTATTCTACAGTCTCCCAATAATCATTTCACTTAAAACTGCTTTCTGTGTTAAATTAAACATGATGCAAGTCAACTTCATTAACTGTTACTAATGAAAATTTCATTATATACTCATTTCACCTCCACAGCTTAAACCCTTCTATGCATATTAGAATTTAAACACCAACAGAAGTGTTTTAATAACCTCATACTAAACCCAATTAATTTAAAATAATCCTTGTGTGGCAACTATGAAACGCCATGGGGAATTTACCCTCAAGGATATTGTCCCCATTTTTGCTTTTCCATGTACTTTTGAAAATACTTTATCTTTCCATCATAAAATAAAAAGCCCTGATTTTTTTCCTTACCTATATACACAGTAAACGTTTAAAAGAAAATAACTGAAGTCTTCCAAAAACAATTAGAGGTTTAACAATAACAAAACTTGATAATTATTACTTTATTCCCAAAGGGAATAAATACACCTTTCAACCACCCAGCTAGTATTATTATGGATAGGCTTGCATCCCTTATTTAAGAATATTGCAAACTGAGTAATCCCAGCTGTGTTAGTACTAAAGTTCTTCCTGCTACAACACAATTTCTTCTATAATTAGACATCTTATATCAAAGCAGAATTTGACCTCTTTCCTACATCCTGTTCCAACAACTCTTTGCAAGTCAGTTGGCTTGTTTAAGCCTTTTGACCTCCATTTTAGTCTCGGTAATCAATTTTGAGCTCAATTCTTAGACATAATCACTCTTTCACCAAGGTCAGCTTTTTATAAAAAGGAGAACCCCTCTCTCCCCTTTAAATTCTTCCTTCTCTTTTGCCTGTTCTTAAAGCCAAGCTTAGTTTTTACCATATGAGGAAATAAAACTAGCACATGGCTTTGCATACTGGGGACACAACCACTTCCTTCATGTCATGAAGGACCAGCCACATACCCCATTTTCCCATTTAAGAAAGTGTTATTTCCTATGTATTAGCAATACAAAGGTATTTACATGGGTGAAAACACTGAAAAGCCCTCTTACTGAGAAGTTGTTGAGAAATTGCCATTAAAAATTGAAATCTTTTATGAAAATTTGACAAGTTTGGAGAAAGAAAAGTCTCATAAACATGTTCATAATACTTAAAGGTAGCATATAATAAATACCTAATGAAAAAGGTTTAAAAAAAACCCACAACAAAAACCAGGCTGCATCCTATTCCCTCCTCTGAAGCTCTCACTCCAAAAAAAAAGCAAAAAACGAAAGGAAAAATTAAAGGTGCAGTTGCACACCCATGTTAGATGAAAGGAAGTGCTTTCAAAAATACTCAATTTACACTTTGTGAGATTAAGCATTAAGATTTGTATTACAGCATTCTGAAATTTTACAATGCAGCAGAAATCTCTCAGAGATGCAGGCTTTCAGAAGCACTTAAGCTGACTATGAGCATGAGAACTTCTACATCCTCTTCCTTCGTTGCTAAATTTTAATTTACTTCAATTAGGTTTCTAAGCAACAAAACATTTTTAGACAAAAGAACTGCACTTTGCAGATACCAAATTAAAACTCAGACTTCTAATCAATACACACTCATGTTACTTAAGGTTACAGAATTTATTCTAGAACATGTATGGAAAGCCCAACTAAGTTATTAAAAACTTGATTATGATAAGATACATGGGGGAAACAGCTACAGAAGACAATACTATATTGACAAAAACTCTTAATACTAAGTGAAGATAAAATTTTAGGTACTTACCTCTTTGGATAATCGTGTGAATACATCTCCTCCCCTGAGAAAATCCAATATTAAATATAGCTTCCCTTCAGTCTGAAAGGCTTAAATAAATAAATAAATACACAGATCAATGGTTGTGTGACAAAGATGATTTACAAAACAGATCTGAATGCTTTTACAACTTGGAAATTCCAATGAAAGGCAATACTTTTGTTATGGATCTAAAATAACTCAGCAGCACATGAGGTAACTTCCTGAATGATCACCTGCTTCTTGTAGAAGACAATCTTAGTCATAAGAGATCATTAAAATACTGACATTTCTCCTTTCTCAAACAGGGAAAAACCAAGTATGTGAATTATTGTGTTTTGGCTTTACTCAATGAAAACCAAAAAAACCTCTCTGCAGAATTTGCCAGAATCTTCCAAATCTTTCATTTCAAGAGGACTCAATCTAAAATTTACCTTCTTTTCTAGCCCTATTATTTAAAGTTGCTAGAACCTAATTTGGGCACTATAAACCTGAGAAAGAACAAGATCAGATATGCCTTCAAGTATGAAAGAAACTTTCAAAGAATGTAGCAAAACCAAATACCAACCATAGTGCAGTTTGACGATAAATGGATGATTTACTTCTACTAATATATCTCTCTCCATTTTTGTACGAACTCTATCCCGAACTGAGGGGAAAAAGGAAAAGACTAGGATGAAGCAAAAATATCTGGTATAATACAAATTGAACAGAAGTTATTTCTAAAGCAATACTTTTCCTTGTTATTTGTTTATAACTTTAAAGTCTCTCACAAAACACATGCTTTCAGATAACAAAACTCTGTTTTTTTAATTCCTTGACCGATATTCATTATTGTCTTCAATTTCCTTCCCCTCCAACACATTCCAATATTTTCTTATAATCTACATTACTTTCAAGAAAAAGCTCACATCTGTATTTCTAGGCAGCTAACTTCAGTCTCTGAATTAACTATCTGGACTGAACATATATTTTCTGTCTTCTAAGATTACTTTTTCCTCCCCAACTAGTAACAATCCCTCTTTATGCACAGTGAACTTGCATGCATTACAGTTTCTTCCGAATGACAAACCAGTAAGCTAGCTTGCTATGGCACCTATAAGAAGGAATGACTGACCAATTTTAACCACAGTAGAGCTCTAACTTCAGACAAAAGGAAAAGTGTTTATGAAATTAATTTGGTTTCATATAATGATCAGACTAAACGAAATTAAATGATGCAATTTTAAAGTTTGAAAGAGCACTGTTAACCACATACCTAAAGCTATTTGGCCAGATTTAAAATAATTCTAAAACATGAGCTTACAAGTTACTCCAGACAAAAGCTACCATCAGAGAACAGTTATGAACTCACTCAAAAATACGTAGCAGAAAAAAACAAACCAAACCAAACCCAAAAAAAAGCTTTTAAAAAGAATATTTACATGAGTCATTTAAGAGACAGAGGTTCACACACGTACCTTTTAAAGAAGCTTTTTTCAATACTTTCATTGCATAAAGTTGCCCAGCATCAGGGCCAATTATTTTCCGTACAAGGAAGACCTGGTAATACAAACCCCATTTTTAAAATTACTCCTGAAAATCTTTTACGTAAACACTAGATTAAGCTGACTTAAATAAAATAAAACACATTATTTTATGTCTTTACCTTAAACTTCATTAATACAGACAAGGAGATAGCATGTCCCTAGTCCCATCCCACTCCTCGAAAAGTCCATGCAATGAAAAGGATGCCAAACATTCATAATGTCTTTTTGCATCAGCAAGCTTAGTAATCAAATACGCAACTATCACAAAGGATTTGCAAACATCCTTTTTATTTCAGACAGCTTTCGGTGTTCTTTCCTAAGTATACACCTTTAAAGGAAGAACAAAATTACATTCCCTTAATCAGATTAGAGGTACGTACACCACCAAGCTCTCTGAAGTATTAAGCTTCATTATAAACTACGCATTCTTTCCTACAGCAAGCCATTTAAATAAGTACTTATTTGATAAGTACTTGTATAAATCTGTGTCTTTATATTCCTTACTTGGAGAAGGACAATTCTGGAGGTGCCCCTGGTCTGGCACCTCCTAAGAGTTTTTTGAGTTTTAAGACCCAAGTCTGAAATATGTAACAGGTTGTATTAATGAATTCTGTAAGAGTGCCAAGATGAAAGCAAGGAAACCTCACCATTCAAGATCAAAGCACCCTTTCCCCCTGGAATAGCAACTCCAACAGGTCTTTCTACTCTTTTATTTCCAGGGGAGTTTTAAAGATAGATGGTATATAACTCGACACTAAGAAAAGCATAGTATTAGATAAAATCATGCAGTACAAATACATGTATCTCCAGTGAGTAATATTCTAACTAGTAGTCTTTCAATTTACAAAATGGCTCGGTATGCGCTCCTGTTTCCAAGCTGCTGTTCTTATAATAGCAATTATCATGAGGAATGTTTGTACCATAAAAAAAAAATGATGTATGATCACAAGAGAATGCCAAGAGCTACCCAAAATGGCCTCTGTGATCTTACCTTATTCATGTTTTCATTAACACCAGATTTGTTTACACATATACTTCATTAGAAATTATTAGATAACTAGAAATTAGCTTTTTAAAAAATAAGCATACAAGCTGGCAACATTCTCCATTTTAGAATGAGAAATTCATACACTGCCACTGACCACGTTCCACAGGGTTGGGAGAGGGGCTGTTTTTATTTTAAGCTCTAGTTTGTAGAAAAATGTCATTGTGTTTCAAGGTTATTGGGCTCTTTGTTTAAATTTTGCCTAATGACTGATCTGCAGCACTGCTCTCCTGTTATATGATGTTGACGCTCAAATAGTAAAGGGAATAATTCAGACACCAGCAAATAAGAAAACATCTGTAGAGTAATACACTCACAATTACAAAAGTATTTATAAGCCTGTACAAGTATTTTAGTGCTTATTAACTAGCAGCCTGTGAGAATGTAAGGAATTCACATACAAGTTACAAATTTCAGCCAATAACAACCAAAAAAGTTGATAGTCAAAACTGCTCAAGCATAGTTGTAGTACTACTCAAGTAGTACTCAAAACTACTACTATTTAACGTGCAGACAAAGCCTGCACCTTGCAGAGATGCAATGACTGGCTATTCAATTGAAAAGCAGATTCAAAGTGGCCACATGTGCAAGATGATTCAACTAAGCTAATCGAAGATCATCTTCAGCAGATCAGGTGCTAAAGCTTTAGATTATCAAAGGCTGAAGAGAGAAATTCAGTAATGGACATGAAGTTTAACCCTCTATTTCTGTGAAGCATTGTTAAATCCTGCACAGATGTCAGAAAAGACAGGTAGAGGATGGGCTGTAGCACTATAATAGATCAGGGAAAACCAACCTTGTGTTTGCTAAACCCAAAGGGAGATCCCTGGGAAGTATGAACTAGAGGGATTAACACAAACACCATCAAGGCACCACTCACTGATCTTTGTTGTTTGTTTTCCCTTTTCAATAGAAAGCCACAAATAGTAGACAAAATGAGCTCTGCTCAGATTTGCAACAGTCACCATCCAGTTCTTAAAGCTAGTTCCTCAACCAAGCACTGCCAGGTTTTGAGAGCCCTAAAACAGATGTCTCACCAAGCTGGCAGGATTCTGAGCAAGAGCTTTCTTTAGGCTGTCCGGAGTCTGAACTCTGGGAAGTAAGAATCTGAGTCAGGGCTAAAAGGTCGGTACCAGATGTACTAACCTAAGATAGCTTAATACATCTCAAGTCAGGAGTAATAAATGCACAGAGCCTTTTAAGCTCTCAAGATGTGTATGAGGGAATTGCCAACCAACATTACCAGATAAACAAATATTTCCTAAGCTGTAAAGCATGAAGAAATACTTTAAAGTCTATTTCTGAACTATCATTTCCAAAATGCCTTCCTAATGTCTTCCTCCCCACATACAACTCTATGCAGAGATTTGTTCTTGCCATGAGACAAATAAAACCAGCACAAGAACAGGAAAACAGAAGCATGTATAAAACAGATTGCTTACTTGAAGCTGCAAAAGATCTAGTTTGAGTCTGGTTTAAAACAATAAATTAGCTTCTTATACACTGGGATTAGTATTTCAACTCGTGTTTAAAACTAGTGACTGAGATACTACAGTCTTGTTTTCATTTCTGCAACATGACTCCAAATGGTACACTACGAAAACATCAGTGTAACCAAAAAATTGCCATATTTCTTCTACATGCTATTTGACTGATTGTTCACTTAGTGTCTTTTAGCTGCACATTACTTGACAGATAGAGCAAAATAAAAAACCTGAAATACATTTCCCAGGTTATTTACTGTTACGCTGATTCAAGTTCCAAACTACCACAATCATTCTCCCATATCTACATCAATACAAATTTTGTATACTGAAAAAAGTCAAACATTCACAGCATGTGAAGTACCATCATTAAAAGACAAATCACTACCTCCTCCAGAAGAGCCTCCAGAAGTGTCTATTACACCACTGGTGCCTCCCAAGCATGAACCCAAGCTACAGAAGATAAAAAGCAACCTATACAGAATAGAGTTATTGTTCAGTCTGATTCCACAGCAGATGGTGCAACAAAATCCTGAGGCAGTTGAAAACACCATGGATTTGCTTCAGATAGCCATGGCATTAGGCAAACAGAGCTTGCCAGCACAAGAGCTGTTGTATAAAACCCACACCTAAATCTTTTCACATGAAAAAGACAAGGGGTAATGGGCACAAGTTAGTCCTGGGGAGATACCAACTGCACGCAGGAGAACAACCAGTCACTGGAATCATCTCCCCAGGTAAGTGGTGGATTCCCCAACACCAGACACTTTTAAGATTCACCTTGAGAGAATGCTGGGACATCTAGCCTAGGTCACGCTTGGCCTAGAAGGGTTGGACCAGATGATCCCTGAGGTCCCTTCCAACCTGGTATTCTGTGATTCTATAATCCAACCGGCCAAATTCCGTACTGTTGGTACAATTATCCCCATGAAACTGCAGATGCCAGTCCAAGTGAAGCACAGATGTGCCTCTTTTCAGTGAAAGCAAACCACAGCTTTCCATGGCAGCCCTCCCAAAATCTGCTACTGACTGACCCTTCCTGCCTAAAGACTGAGGCTGCTGTCCCTCAGTGTCTGGTATGATTGGGTGTACTGCTATAAAAAGTGCTGCCTTGGCACCAGAGTAAGATTGAAAAAGATGAAATTTGTCAGTATCTTTTCAAACATCCCCAGCAACTCTGCCTCAGCAGTAACTTTCAGGAATGCCTGGACAGGTCTATGGAAAAAGACATCTCCTTTTCCTCTAAAAACAAGACAGAAATGCTATCATAGAAAAAATGTAACACCTCCCACTCCCCACCCAACTGCAAAACAGGGTAGAAACTTCAAAACAGGGCAATTTCCACAGGCATATCTATCTGCACTCAGATGTGTTAGGTTTATACCTTCCCTTGCAGTATTAGTGAAATAAGGGGAGTAAGACAAAGCAGGTTTAAACTGAACATCAAATAAAAAATTATCTTACCTTTCCAAATGATCCCTGTCCAAGAACCTTAAGGAGTTCAAACTGTGCTGGATCTGCTTTCTCACAGCCTTCTTTCACATGGTGTGTAATAGGAATTTCTTTCACACTTCCTTCATCCTATTATTTCAAGACAAACAAAAAGCAGCAATGAACAGGCCTGAATGAGTCAAGTATCATTAGAAATGCACACAAATGCCTCCTCTTTTCTTTGCTGGTGTTTTGTTTGTTTGGGGTTTTCTTTGGGGGGTGTGGGTTCTGTTTTCTTTGGGTTTCTTAATGTTTTAAATTCTAGTATGACAAGAAAGCTGTTCAAATGAAGAATTTTCCCATCCATCCTTTCATAAACAGAAATTTCTAAACTGAAGTAAAATTCTCAAAGAATGCTTATTTACTTTTGTCATAAATTACAGCTACAGCAAAGATGGATTTTCTTGCATGAAAGGAATAAATGCACAGATCTTTAAACTAAGTCTAAGATGATCCTTCTGTGCTTCACTTTTGTTTAGCAGCCTTTAGTTTTCTCAGTTGCTAGTCTTCTCATCTTCCCCTTTCCTGAAACAGTCTTAATGAAACCTAAATTGAATTTAATCATTTCAGTAATGATTGCTTTTCACAGCAGCAAATAATAAATATGGTCATCCATTTGCAGCTAGAGGAATATGCATCATTTGAAGAGCACAAATGTCCTATTTGTGAGTCATTTAAGAACTCTGAGAATTCTTGAATTCAACAGAAGAAACAGCTCTGGAGTGCAGAGTTCATGGAAGGACTATCTTGTATGGAGACGACCTTTGGAAAGCTGAGGTTAATTCTGAACTGTTCACTTCTTCCTGTTACTCTCATCTTTAGCAAAGCAGAGCACAGCGCCCTCAATTGTGAAAAGACAAACATTCATGATGAAAACAAATCAGATGATGTATTGCAGCTCTCACGGTGTAAGAGAAGTTTGTGTGAGCCAAAACAAGCAACATGCCAAAATAAGCACCCTTGAAACTTAAAACTACGTGCTAAGGCCTACAACAGCAATCTCAGCTTACATGTAGAAAAGGAGCAGCACCTCTTTGCCCTACCAAGAATACCAATAAACTTCTTGTACACAAAAAATACATCCCAATCACACCTGATTTGCAGTACGTTGCTTTTAGGGTATCCAAATTATTATTAACTATCCTCCTATCCTCTCTTTAGGTCTTCATCTTGAAAACTTCTCTTAGCAGAGACCAGAAAAACACCCTAACCCTAACACAGTGCATTGCTCTCCTTCAACAACAAGTACAAACAGCACCAGAAAAAGACCTGGCCACTTAATGAAATGGTTGGCTTCAGTTAAAAACAGCATTCTATAGTCAGGCTGAATACAGAAAGTCTTGCATACCGGGGAGTGTTTAAGGCCAGGCTGGACAGGGAGGACTCGGAGCAACCTGGTCTAGTGGAAGGTGTCACTGCCTATGGCAGGGGGTTGGAACTGGAGGAGCTTTAAGGTTCCTTCCAACCCAAACAGTTCTATGAAGACCACACATTAAAACAAGTAAACAGCTGACATACATTTACGATACAGTGTACACATGCCAACTTCATTTCATCCCTCCACCTTGCTGACGGTACATGTAAATATTCATCGGAAAGATGCACATATCTTATTTTAAGCACGTGCCTGGAATTTAAGGCAGGTAAGAACACCAGCATTTCAAGTCATCTGACAACAGATGAAAGCAGCGAGTTGTGTAGCTGTACAAGAGACTTAATGGGTGGTTCTTTCTATGAAATATGTAAATAGTCTATTTAAATGCCTTTTTACTTCACCATCCTAATTTGTATTCCTTAACGCTGTGAACCTATGCATGAGAAAAGATCTTTAAGAGTTCACCTGCTCTTCTGTTTATCACCCACCTTGAGTCATTAGCCTGTGACATCACATGTGGTTGCTGAGGAGACTGACAGAGTATTTCTAAATGTGAACCGAGAAGGAAAATGTTTTCCATGCAAATAAAGAATAACTTGAGATGTATGAAATGAGTTATTTTTTATAAAGTGTTTTACCTTTGCAAAAGATCTCACTTAAGAATCATTAAAGTACTAAAAATTGGCATGACTGAAGTATAAGAGGACCTCTGCATCATCAACAAGAAACAAGCAGGTAAGAAGTAGAACAGATATATAAGCCTGTTTCACTTCCATTTCTGGTTTGGCCTCCATGAACTGGAAATCTGGTTATCTGGTTTTGTACTCTGCTGGTTGAACAGCACATCCATCTCAGGGTTCAGGTACCAGCTCCCACCGAGCTGCCTGGCACAAGAGGCAACTATTCTCAGTAGTTCAAGAGAACAAAGCACTGAAAGAAACTCTACAATCATTTATGGCTTTGTGCCATCTTACTTTGTTGCAGCTTGACTGGTATGTAGCTCCAAGCACCTAACAAACAAGCTCAGCAACATCCTTCTGGTTCAAGCACAGCAAAAGATTGAGACAACCCATTGCGCATCTTTCTTTGCTACATGTAATACGACTACAACACTGACTGTTTATTTGCTTACTCCACACCAGGAAAAGTCCAATTACCACGTTTCTATCCCCAAGAGTTTATTCTCCAAATCACTTACTCAAGAAGTTATTGCAACACAAAGCAGTGGTTACAGCTGGCAGTAAAATCTACTTGATACCTTCTTCCATGATTCTGTTCAAAAATACATGGATGGGCATGCTGAAAACTGATGGCAAATTTTTCCATGCGAACTCAGGCATTTCACTACGTACAGAATTAGCCTGAAATTCAGTCCAAGATTTAGCCAACACACAGAACACTGATCTTTAGCATTTCCTAAATATGCACATCACCGAATCACTGGTCAAAATCACACTCAACAGAGTTTATTTGGGATATTTCTATGCAAGTCAAATTAACACACTGGTGTAAAAATTCTGGTTTAAAATAGCAGGAATTAAGCACCTTCTAGACAAATGTACCACAACTACATCACAAAAAAAAAAAACACAAACAAACAGATGACAGTGTAATAAGAGCAACGTTAAGCGCTCTGTGGATAAATGGTTCAAGGCTGGACAGAGCATTTCCCAAGGTTGAGGGACCTGTCAATGTTTTCTCCAGCACATAGAATCGGTTTTCCATAACCTCATGGGACAAACTTTCCCAAACAAGGCCCCTACCCAGGTACTAATTTTCAAAATCACCTTTGAGGCTTGGAGCCTCTTCAGATCTGGTCACATAAAACGACAGGCTCAAAAGTTATTAAAGAGCAGGAAATGCATGACTTTTGCTTCAAAAGCAAGTCACGCTAATAAGCGTCTCAAATGAACATCTATCGAATATACTTACATGGTAGGCATATGGTTCACCTTCTTCCATAGGCTCATCTGCCATTTTAAGGCCATTTAGCTACAGAGGGGAAAGAAAGGGAATGCAGAAGAAAAACAAAAACAAAGTTAAGACCTAAAAATTTTAAATAAGCAGAGTTCATCATTTGACCCAATTCACACTTCAGAGCACACAAATGGAAACTGATGCTCTTGTCACTCTAAAACTGGAGTTTCAAACAAATACTACTACTTAGACATTATATTTAGCATCTCCCTTATGTATGATTTAGCATATCCCTTTGTAAATGCTGTTGGATAGTGTTATTTAATTGGAATGAATTTAAAATTCCTTCTTTAAAAGCTACAGATACCATCCATACAAGATGACAGCAACGCAAAACTTTTCTGGTAAGCACAAAACTTACGTTGCAGATGCTTTTCAGACACCTACAATCTGCTGCTGACAGTTAACTGCAGTTTAAGAAGAAAAGATTCAGAAGTGATTTTGAGTCTTTTCAGGGCAAGAGCGAGAAGGGCAAGAGCAGGTAGTACAGAGAATACACACCACAGAATTCTTACGCCCAAAATAATCACCTATTTCTTTAAAAATTTAGATTCCTCTAAAAATTGGCTTGTCTCAGAGGTTATTTAAATATCTAGCAAATAGAATACTCAAATTTTAAGTACTTCAGAAACTAGCTTCGTATATTAAAATACTTCTGGATCAATTTCAAAAGCACATCTTTGACAGGCAGTAAAGTATGATATGCATCTGGACAGAAGCAAATAAATGACATGCTCTTAATGACATGCTCTTAAACCAGCACAATACTTGCTATCAATTACCAACCCCCTCCCCACCTCCAAACAGCAGTAAAAAGAAGACAAGAGTCCACAGTCACAGTAAAAAAAGTTTATAAGTTATTTAGTTGAAGCTCTAAGTAACGATGGTGCTTAACAACTGAAACTTGACAAAACCCCAGTGACTCTGAAGGACGTGCTCCATTTAAACATGCAAATTAAATTAAAATTAATTAAAAACTGAAAATACCTGACAAAATGGGTGAAGCCAATTATGGATTTTGCTACTGATAATTGCTAATTTATTTGTATGTTAATCTGTCAGCATTTCTACCTTCATGTGGCATCAGTCTCACACAGCAAAACGCTAACCAGAAATAACATAAGGAAACTCAAACCACTTTTTTCCTGAAAACAGAACTGAAACCAACTAAGCTCTTAGACCAGATAACGACGCTTTTTTTCTTACACTTCTAAATTTACTTAAAATACATGCCTAAGATACTGCACTATGGCATAATTATCAGTATGCGAATTGGTAAAACACGATTAGAAAGAACTTGAAATGTAGACCATGCCCCTGTTTAAAACCAAAACAGGAAACTCGACAGACGGGTAGGGCTGAAGGGACAGGTTTATACCACCATGATTGCATCATCTAAGCAAACCCTCAACCACTTCTACTGCTTCTTTTAGGACTCCTGATTTCAAGTACAGCTTTGAGGAGCTAAGTGCTAAATGAATGATTCTGGTATCTCCAATTTTTCTAGCAAGATATCAGCGCTCATTTTTGGATTCACTAAAGAAAAGATTATCAAGTAAAGTAGCATGAGACTTTGGTTACTTTCACTCTTCTCTATGTTTCTATTTTAACCACGGTTTACACACACATTTCACATTACCTATAATCTGTCAGTTTCACCAAGGACTGGCATATTCAACATATTCATTATTTGTACCTATCATGCACTGCCACCGTAATCTCTCAAGGCCAAAACCCACTAACCCATTACCCTAGATTCAAAAATCTCACATACACTGCAATGCTACTAACTAATTTGCTAAGTATCAACTCTTTTTTGCATTAATATTTTTACCAAATTAGATACTGGGATGGACCAAACACGCAATATACTTGTTGTTATACGAATTAACTGAATATATTGAGAAATAATGCCAAAACTCAGACCAGATATGAACCAGGTATGTGCCGTCCCTGGAGATACTAAAGGCCAGGCTGAACGTGGTTCTGGGCAACCTCATCTAGTTGAGGATGTCCCTGCTGGTTGCAGGAGGGTTGAACAAGGCAACCTTTGAAGGTGCCTTCCAACCAAAACTGGTCTACATTTCACTGTCATGTACTTTCTTTTCACAGTATCACTAGGTTACATTCAAGTGTGAATCAATGTGAGGCCCACCAAAGTTGTCCAAAAAAACTTATCTGGACCCAGTAGTAAAATGGGTGTCCATGTTCCAGGGGCTCAGAAATCAAATACAATTCTTCACTCATGGGCTTATTTGAAGTGAACTTACAGGGCATTTTGCCTTTTCTTTCTTTAAATGTGGTCAGCATTTTCCAAGTATTGCTATATAATTTAAGCTCTGGAAGCAATACTACCAGACAGAAGAATTGTTCATACACTGAAAACAGCAGCTAAATTCCAGGCAATCAGATACAGAAAGCTGTCACCTTTGGAACAGGGTTTTGAAACAAAAATCAGCATGTTATTCGATCTACACAGTTCCTGAGCACACCATATAAAGCATACTTTCAGCTTTCTGGCAAAACAAATGTATTCAGTTATTGGATTTTTATGGTGGGTAATCAAATGCCATCTTAATTAACAACTTCCTATCATACACTTTCCCCCTTCACTGTTGCGTATGGGGCTTTTTTTCCTGTCCAGTCTCTACAAAGACTGGGATGTCTGCCAAAGTCCAAAGACTTCCTTGTTCAGGTGCCTGAAAGTCACGACCATGCTTTTACCTTCTCTGTTTGTGAATCCTGGTCACTGTCCATTAAAACAAAACAAAACCACCTCCAACCTGTTGAATTGTGACCCAGAATCTAGTACTTTCTTTAGTTATTTAGTTACAAATTTCAATGACAAAAATCAAATCGCTACTCTTCTGTACAGATACTTATATTGGCTAAGTTTCAGCAATGAAAGTGCTCACTATCTCTCATATAAGGCAAAAAATTTAACACTTAATTCCCACCTCCGTGGAAACCAAATCCAAAACTCTGTTTCCACAGCCAACTGGGACCACTTTTAGTGATATAATCATAAATATTTATGCACAAACATATACCAAACTATTTCAACCTCCAAGTCTTTACTAAATATCTACAAACACACATATTTAATTATGGAGAACTGGAAAGCACGTTTCCATGAGAGCAGGTGAAAGAACCACAGAATAGTTTCCATTGAAAGGGGCCTTTAAAGGTCATTTAGTCCAACACCCCCCCCCCCCCTCCCCATGAGCAGGGACATCAACTAGATCAGGCTGGCAAGAAGCAAGTACCATTACTCTGACAGAGATTTTCATCCAGGAACCATTTTGTTGTTCAGTACTGCTGAAGTTCTGCAACTAACCGAACATTTTAAATATTAACTCTCATTAGAACACAAACTAAACTCAGACATTTAGGCAAACAACGTTCATGCTTTCCAAAGACAAAATGAGAAAGTGATAGAAAATATTGCCCATTCTTGATTAGTATAAAAATAACTAGAACAGCTACATAAAAGATGAGACAACCTGAGAGGTAAGAGACTTACTTTTCCAGAGGTGCAGGCTAAGAGACCCAATCCTCCAATGTCAAACTGCCTCCTGATTTAAATAGCTGCAATAGATCCCATGACTCGCTGGGACTATACCCTACTGCCTTAGGAGAATGTCCAAAGGGCTTTTGTGAGCTGGCAAAAGGCTTAACTACTGTTGCACAGGTTTTCCCTCTGGTAATTACAGCAGAAGAATTCCAGTATTACCAAAGATTTGCACCATCTTCCCTCCCATGTGAAAGACGTTTTAATTGTTCATACAGTAAATGCATTATGGTTTGGTGGGTCTATAGGTTTTGGCAGAAATAAGCTAAACAAATGGTCAGCAAAACGCCTAACTACAAGGAAAAACTGTAGAAGGTGTACAGCTGGTTCACTCTGCTCTGCTTTTTACACATCTCCATTTAGGCATTCAAACAGAATTTTAAAAAAATAGAGGAAAAGCAGAACAGGGAATTTTATAATCATACTATTATTAGATGTAGAAAGTGTTACTCATCACCACTCACATATAATCTTGTCTGGCTTCAAACAGGTAAAATTCTACATAAGGATGAACAAAGGCTTCTGCATCCTCTGTGGTTCCTCCTTCACTGTGCTTAATTTGCTAAGTTACCACAGCTACAGTCACCAGACCTAGACCTCTAAGTTCTTCCAAATGAACACAGGAATAACCAGTTTGCTTCCCCACATACAGAAGTATTACTTCAAATACGCATTTCAAAATGTTAGAGTGGAAGCTTACACTAGAAACCCCAATTATTTCAAAAAGGCTTTGAAAATAAAGTATCTTTTGAAAAAAGTCCTGTGAAGACAACCACATTTGTTCCTCATTTATTCCAAATTACATCTGCACAGAGTTTGCATCATTAAACTGATTAGCAACACATTGGACTACTGAATCTTATTTCCTGAGATAGGTTTGAAAAATCTGGGGATTCTGTGAACAGACAAACAGGTGAGAGGGTTTTTCTTTTTTGAATGCTTAAAAGCCACCATGAACAAAACTGAAGCTTAAAGGCACCTGGTTTTCCTACAAAACGTTCACAACTTTTCTCCAATCAACTGCTGATTGTTTTTTCTTAAACAGTACATATTCTCAGTGCGTGGAGCATCCTAAGCAAGATTCAGTACTCTTTACTGCCTGGGCTGGCATGCTTTTGGGAAGGAACAGTTTTCCCCACTACAACAGCCAGCCCCACAAAGTGGAGTGTGAAGAAGGGTTCTCAGGTTTACCCAATACTGAGTTACACCACCAACAGCCGAGTCCTACCCTACCACAATGTGACCAGAGGAAGAATGACTGCTGATGGCAGCGTCCACCCGAGACTCCGCAGGTTGATGCCGAGTTTTCTCATCCACCGCTAGCCTCATTCCCTCAGTTCCTCTCACAAAGGGAAGA